ACTGAATGAACTCCTAACAGTTTGATTGACAGAATCCATTGCACTTTTTTATAGAGTCTTGCTGCCATTCTGTAAACCCTTCTTCATCCCACATGATCTGACTGTAGCCTGCAGTGCCCATCTGAAAGAACTGGCCAGAAGAAGTAAGTGAAAGTAATTTTAAACAATGCAGAGTCATTTGTACACAGCTAAACATTTTAGCACACACATTTATTCTTAACTTTAAAAAAAAATCTTTTTAATCTGCTCTTCAGATTTCTTCAAGGTCACCAACATTGATGCATCCCATTTGGCTGAATATGCAAGACGATATTTGCCACCAGACTGGAAGCAGACAGGGAAAAACCTTGTTACATGGGACAACAACAACAGTCAGCATCCACCTTCAGACTGGTTTCAAGAATTCTGGAGGTTTCTCAACAGTCATTTTAATGAGTTAAGTCCTTTCACTGACATACCTCTAATACCAGTTAGTTCTCTGTCTGGCAGTCAGACTGTATCAGTAGCAAAACTACAGCAGAACACAACTCTGATCTTTCAGAAAAGTAAACAGCTGAATTTGCCAGACCGAATAGCTCAGCTGGTGAACAAAGTTGGTGGGACAGTGGTGAGAGGAAATGAGTGGCTCAGGCATGTAGACCTTGACTCGTATGTGCTGTGCCCATCTCCAAGGAGTGTTTTGAAGGTCCTGATGAATTTAGATTTCCAGCATCTTGTCACAGAACTCACATCCGCCTCTCACACAGCACGCGACGAACTGAAAGATTATCTCTCTTATCTGGATTCTCTCTCAAAAGCAGAGAAAGATTTTCTCTTGAAGTTGCCTTTGTTTCAAACCATGAAAGGATTCAGTGTTGCAGCTCAATCAAAACAAGCTGTGCTTCTGATCTCAGGCCTAACAGTACCAACAGAGCTCCCTGTGCCTGATTCCATAATCCAGTGTTCTACTGAGACTGACCGCAGACTGTTACAGCTGCTCAAAGTTCATCTCTTGGACACTGCCGAAGCAGCCAATGTTCTTGTT